ATTAAATATCCAATGTATTTGATAACAAATTTATTAAATTATAATAAGTGTTAAACATAGCAACAACGTGAAGCTTCCTTGTAATTATTAACACAATCTACAGTAAGCAATTTTCATATACCGTCAAATTTACGTAGGGAGTACGAAATAAATATATCCTTACTATAAAGATATGATCAATTGTCAATGGATTCAACATGAAGATCATGTGATGGATCTGAGCGATTTCTTCTAAGCATAGAAACATGGAAGACATTGTGGATCTTATATAACTCCGGTGCAAGAGCTAGTTTATATGCAACTGGACCAACTCCCTCAAGTACTTCATATGGTCCAATAAATCGAGAACTAAGTTTTCCTTTTTGGTCAAATCTTGGCGCATGAGATAAAAGAGCTTAGAAACGAGAAAATTCCATTAGTGAAAGTCCTTTGGAGAATTCATTCTGGTAAAGAAGTTACTTGGGAGCGAGAAGAGGACATGTGTGTTCGATATCCACATTTGTTTAGAGACTAGTATGAGGTAAATTATGGGACGAAATTTCTTTAAGGGGGAGAGAGTTGTAACACCCAAAAATTTCTAAACTAATACTTGCATTTTCAATTGACCATATCTTTATAATAAGGATATATTTACTTCGTACTACCTACGTAAATTTGACGGTATATGCAAATTGCTTAATTTAAATTGTGTTAATAATTACAAGGAAGTTTCATGGTGTTTCTATGTTTAACACTTATTATAATCTTGATAAATTTGTTATGAAGTACATTGGATATTTAACGTTTTGGGCAGCCACCCTTTCATATCTATCCAAAGAAGTAAAAGTTTGGGCAGCCATCTTTTTGTTTCATCCTTATCCAAGGTGATATATATCACCCTTGTGAAATATCTTTAACCATCTTCTCAAATTCGTTTTCTCTAGCAAAAGAAAACTCCTTTCCTCCCATCAAATTCTCCAACCAAATCACCAACAAAACTTGTCTTGGTTGAGCCACAAGGTACTTCTCACTTTTGAGGTAACTTTACCAAACCCGTTTTTGAACTGGACAACTGTTAGTATTTTTTTAACATTTTTCCTTGTATAAAACCCCGTTTTAAGTGAGCCAAGCTGTTCTAGAACGCTATTTCTTAGCTCTATAACTTTTGTTCAGGCTCCAAAACCTAGTTTTGCTTGTATTTACCTGAGAAAGAGTGGTGAAGTACAGGGCAAGTGCTGCCATGATTTCTGTTTTACAAACCCTCCATGTATTACTGTTAGTATCTTGAGCATAACTTTTTGTACGAAATTGATATTGGGGTGAGAAGCTTATGAAACAGATCAAAGAAGTTAAAAATGGAGAAAAATTTGATTTTAAATTGAGGGAGGATGGTATCCTATTTTATCAAAATAAGTTATGTGTTCCTAAAGATAACAACTTGAGGAAAGAAATTTTGAATGAAGCACATACTTCACCATATGCGATGTATCCTGGAGGTACTAAAATGTATCAAACCATCAAAGAACACTATTGGTGGAATTGTATTAAGAAAGACATTGCGAAATTTATTTCTAAATGCTTAGTTTGTCAACAAATAAAGGCCGGGCATCAAGTCCCATCTGGTTTGCTACAACCCTTGTCGATACCAGAGTGGAAATGAGAAAGAATAACTATGGACTTCCACGCACTCAAAGAAATCATGATGCAATTTGGGTTGTAGTTGATAGCCTAACCAAGAGTGCTTATTTCTTGGCCATTAGAGTGGACTACCCACTTGAATGTTTAGCAGAATTATACGTTAATGAGATTGTGAGGTTGCATGGAGTTCTTGTTTCTATTGTATCTGACCGAGACCCAAGGTTTACATCCAGATTTTGGACTAGCTTGTAAGAAGCTTTGGGTACTAGGTTGAATTTTAATACTTCTTTCCATCCTCAAACAGACAGCCAGTCCGGGAGGGTAATACAAATCTCGGAAGATATGCTTCAAGCCTGTATTATTGAGTTTTTGAGGGTTGTTGGGACAATAAAAACGAGTTCTTTTAGTCCATTGGCTAGAAATTGGGTGAGCTTTGTTCTTGGGAGACTTAAGCCGTGCAAGAATGATGATGAGATTTCACGGGCAATTCGAACTGCAACCATCATAAAAAAAAGGGCCCATTGACGTTGGGGAAGATATGAGAGCTGAGATTCTGTCAGCATGCAAGAAGGATAAGAAGGTCAAGTCATTGCATTTCCCGTGGGCTCTTACGGAGTTGATGAAGAAAGTACAAGTGCCTTAGTCAAAGGTTGAAATTACAAGGTCCCAAGAATGTGAATTTATTTTCATTAAAGGATGATTCAAAACTTTCCAAGAAGAAGTAGACAGAGTCCACCACACTTGATATGTTGCCATCTACCTTGGGGGCTAGCCAGTCTGATGAGCTAGTCCCCACTATATCACCAGTCGTTGCTCTATTTCCAGGCTTCTGCCACAGAAGCAGGAGACCTGTCCACAACAGTCTTGCCATCTAAATGTCCTCCAACCACAAAAGCTCCAGATCAAGCTGTATCCAAAGCTCTTACAGCCATCTGCAAGCAATTAAAAGAATGTTAAGAACACGGTGAAGCTGATATATGTGAATACTAAAGGAGCTTTCTTTTGCGCAATAAAGTCAATTCTAACAAAGCTGGACCAAGTCTTAGCAAATCAAGCTGAAAAAGCCAAAGAGAAGGTTAGAGATGAACAACTAGAAAAGCTTGAAAAGACAGTCCATGACATGGATGGAAGACTTGGTAAAATTGAAAAGGCAATCCAAGTTGGCTTACCAGAGATGCGTGCAACAGTGACAAAATTTTCCGTAGAGATAGCTCAATTCAGGAAAGATTGGCGTCCCACAACTGAAGAAACGACTGATGTTGCTTTGAAGTAGTTTGCAACCATTAAAAACTTAGTCCACCATTGGTTCTGAGTTGGATGCACAGACACATGGGGCTCCTATTGTTCCTAGCACTACTGATGGTGCTCATGTTGGTGTTTCTATTTTACCTATTCCAATGCTACTGATAGTACTCTACCTTTTGTGCTTGTACATGATTCTCATTCAGCCCAGAGTGTTACAGATAGTGCTGCAGAGTTTGTTCCTTCCCCAGCGATAGATGCATAACTACAGATGTTGAGGGAGTTTTTAAAGTGAGGCAGCAGATAGAGGGTAATGATTCTAGGATGGAGGATGCAATTTCTCAGGAGTATTCTATCTCACTTGAGTCTAGTGAATCCTTCCCTCTCTATGTTTTGCTTTATTCCATTGCATTGAGGACAATGCTAGTTTTTAAGTGTGGGAGAGGGAGTTCAAAACTTGTACATATTGCATCTTTTATTTTTGATTTGTTTTTTTATGCCTACTTTGTTTATATTTTCGCTTTCGTAGTTAACTTCTTTAGTAGATTAGCAATAACTTTTTTGGGTTTTCTTGCTATGGTTCTTTTCCAAGGAAGTAAACTTTTGAACCTAGCGTTTTTAGGATTTTGTTAGTATATTATTACTATATTAGTCGAGGGTCTATCGTAAACAACCTCTCTTCCTGCACAAGGGGTAAGGTATGTGTACTCATTACTCTCCTCAAACCTCACTTGTGGGATTAGACTGGGTATGTTGTTGTTATTAGCATATTATTGATGCATAAAAGCTTTTTAATGAAGTCTTTTGAGAAGTCTTGCTTTTGACTTGTTTGGTACTACCAGTACTTAAGCTTTTGTGTTTTGAAAAGTGAGAAAAGCTTCAAGTTGATGAGTTGGTTATGACTTTTAGATTCTATTCTTAGCTCTTTTGGTTAATAATTAGTCTTTGAGGTTATGGTGGTTTTTCTTTTTGCGTTTGTTTGTTTCTTGTGCTTTGAGCATACATGACCGTCTTGAATTTTCAAGTGCCTTGCAGTGAGGATTTTTGTGAGTTCTTGTGCGCTCATTTGGTCTAGAACTTTCACCGAATGTGTTTCGAGGCGAAATCATAGGCTATACTTAGTTTGGAAAAGGATCATAGGCTTTCCTAGGATAGTTTGTGCCTTAAATTGCCTAACCATCGCATGTTTACCCTAGTCAAACTCTCTTGAGCCTTTAGCCTTTTGTTGGGCAATCATATTACCAACCTTTTCTCTTTTGTGTTGACCTCTTTTGATGCCCCAATTTTCTTAAGCACTTGAAGTTGTAACTTAGGCTTTTAGCCTAGGTTTGGGGAAAAAGATAGGAAAAGTATATTATGGAAGCTAAATGAAGTTGATTTGAGGGTGAAGAAAGAGGAGAAATTTTGGTCAAGTGTTGAAGCCTAGAAGACTAAAGAAACACGTGAATACGAAACAATTTCGGCTCCACGATTTTGGATACCTAAAAAAATTGAGAATCTGTCTAGGTGGACGGAATATTTATGGCATCACGATTTCAGTCCACGAAAATCACCTAAAGCAAGAATTGAACTGAAGATAAGCAATTTCGACTTGACGTTTTTGCTTCTCTTCCATTCAAGTCTTGTTTCAGGTGATTTTCATGGACTGAAATCATGGAGCTGGAAATATTCCGCACACCTAGGCAGATTTTCAGCTTTTTCAGGTGTCCAAAATCGTGGAGCCGAATGCCTACTCGTTTTTCTTTAGTCTTTTAGGCTTCAACACTTAACCAAAGTTCTTCATTTTTGGATTTCAGAACCGGCCCCACTATATAAATTGGTGGGCACAATTTCTCCTCCTTTAGTTTTCCAATTCTTCAATCTTTTGTTCCAAATTCCATCTCTTTTCATCCTTTTTGATCACATCCTTCAACTGTTTCCTCTAAGCTAAGCTCAAACACCTGAAACCAACCAACTTAAGTTAGTTTAGGTTATTAAGTCGTACTTAGAGAACCTTGAAACTCAAGAAAAATGTATGAATAAGTTGGCAAAATGCCAATTTATCTATCCTCCAAAAATGCACTAATTTAGGAGGATCCACACGAGTGCCGCAGCATTTTCGGAGGATCGGGCACATAGATTTGCTTTGCTTACTCTGACTATTCCTTTTCAAAAAATTCAGCTAATAGGTGTAACTCAATAATTGATTTATTCATCTGTTGCAGGTTAAAATTCAGAAGGAAAGTGAAGTTAGATTGAAGATTATTGGTACACGTGTTGATGCCACAGAAATTGTATGTCATCAGCTTTCCTCTTAATTTTGTGAAATTTCCTAGCAACCTTGAGTGATGCCCTAAAATTTTGATAATATTTTTACTATGTACAAAGTTTCCCACATTAGGTAACAAAAGTTGATTTTTTCCGATATGGTAACATCGTGACTCGAACCCGCAACTGTAAGGTTGGAGGTGGTAACAAAAAGCTGATTTTCTTCCATGATTCAACAAATAGCTGTTATAGAAAAATAGTTGTTAGAGACATTTGCTCTGGCCTCTTTCTAGTTAGTTGTCATTATGAAGATCCATATAGTTTTTAATGTTGACCTCCCTTGTGAATAACTTTTACTAAATTTCGATAGTCATGAAGTTTGGATTTGTTATCGTCACTTTTAGCTAGTGAATCCATGTTTTATTTATTTTTGGGGTGGGATGAGGGGTTTCTATCGAGGGACATTAAGTGGCTAGGATAAAACTAATATGACTGGAGAAGGTCCTGAAGCGGAGAAGGAATATCTGGATGAAATTGAGATACTAGGAAGCCGACTATTATGCGAAGTCAGTCTCAGTTTGTCACCCCCCCC